TGGCAATCAGGAAAGGGACTGTCCGATTTTACTTTTCTTTCTGAGGAAAGCTCTTTGTTGTGCTTTATTGTGTGTAGGGAACATTTCAATTAGCACTTGGACGCTGAGTCTCTGGTGACACGCAAGAGCTTAATTAAATCCTTCTTAATTAAATCCAGAAGGCCACTACATCCTCCTCCTTTAAATCCATCTATGTCATGACACCTACCAAACACTTGACGACAGTTAGACTGCTGATGGGCTGTGACCACTGCTTGTTACACTAATCCTAACGGTCTCACTATTGCCATGCGCTCTCCTCATCCGTTCGTTGTTTCTTCCTGCTGCCTCTTTTCCTATACGTAGCCTGTAAGGTCTTTGGGGCAGGGACTGGCTTTGCATTACGTGTGTGTACAGTGCCAGGCACAATGGGGCCCTGAACCTTTACTGGGGGCTGCAGATGCTACTGCAATACAGATAATAAGACAAACTGAGCAGCTGGAAAGATGAAATTAAGTAACCAGGTCATCACAGCAACATTTTCAGTTGTTGGTAAACTCGCAGCAAGTGGCACATACAATGACACCTCTTCGTATTTTTTGACTTAATCAAGCCATTTCACAGTTCATGCTTTCGCTAACATGGGCTTGCCCTCAAGAACGTTAATAAAGATGTTTGATTAAATACAAATAAAAGTCCCATGGAAACTTGAACAGATCTGAGAAGTTTCACAGTGTGTTAACACTGAAGAATTAATTTAAAGGAATATAGGAATTGGGTAATTAACCATTGGAACCATTTACCGATGGACTTTGCTTGAAGTTTTTAAGTCAGAATTGGAAGACTTTCTGAAGAACATGCAAAAGCTCGGCCAGGACTTATTTGCCTTGATGCAGGAATTACTGGGTGAAATTCAATCACCTGTGTTATGCAGGAGGCATGAATGGTCTTTTCTGGATTTAAAATCTATGACTCTATAAATTGCCAGACTGGATCAGACCCCTGGTCCATCTAGTCCAGTATTCCATCCCCGACCGTGGTCAGCAGCAAATGCTTCAGAAGAATGGGTGAGAACCCCACAGTTGGCAGATGTGGGGTAATTTGTCCCCCGAAGGTCTCATCCTAACACCGAGTAGTTAGAATTTGCCTTATAGCTTGAGAAATAACAAGACTACAATAAAGCTGGGATACATGGCTATATACAATGGTATTAAATGGTCTGCTTCTTTCTTTGTCCTACCCACGTCCCCAATCCTGCGGCTACTTATGGACGTAAGAAGCAGAGGTGGGTACAGAGCTGGGTTTGGGAACCTTGAAAAGGAGATGCTGAAGGCAATGGAGAATGAGGTTTGGAAAGAGACTGGTGGGAGCAGGCTGGAGAAAAGCACTACCACTGAGAAAGATTCAAGCTTCCTAGATTCCAAGGCCAGAACGGACCATTGTGATAATCTAGTCTGACCTCCTGTATAGCACAAGCCACAGAACTGCCCCACAATAATTGCTAGAGCAGATCCTTCAGAAAAACATCCACTCTTGATTTTAAAATGGTCAGTGATGGAGAATCCGCCTTGATCCTTGGTAAATTGTTCCAATGGTTAATTACTCTCGCTACTAAAAATGTATGCCTTATTTCCAGTCTGAATTTGTCCAGCTCCAGCTTCCAGCCATTGGATCATGCTATTCCTTTCTCTGCTAGATGTAAGAGTCAATAATTAAATATTTGTTCGCTATGTAATCAAGTCATTCCTTAACATTCCCCTTTTGTTAAACTAAATAGATTGAGCTCCTTGAGTCTGTCAGTATAAGGCAGGTTTTCTAATCCTTTCATCATTCTCGTGGCTCTTCTCTGAACCCTCTCTGATTTATCAACATTCCTCTTGAACTGTGGACACCAGAGCTGGACACAGGATTCCAGCAGCCAAATATAGAGGTAAAATAACCTCTCTACTGCTACTTGAGATTCCCCTGTTTAAGCATCCCAGGATCACATTAGCTCCTTTGGCCACAGAGTCACACTGGGAGCTCATGTTCCACCACCATTCAGAGTCCCTGCTTCCCGGCAGAGAGTCCCCCATCCTGCAAATATGGCCTACCCCTCCTCGATCAGCAGGTGCAGTGCCCGTTAGCACCGTCTGGGGCAAAGAGGAAGCTGTTTCTGACTGCAGCGTATCAGGGTGGGAATAGGGTTTCGACTGTTGCTGTGCTTTGCAACAGTAATTTTAGCAGAAGGGGATGGAGGATGAAAGAGAAAGTAGAGTGAGTCAGTAGGATGGGGTAGTTTTGTTCTCTGCAGATGGCTTGCTCTACATGGCTTCAGTTTGAAAGCATCGGGCCTGATTCTCCACTGCCTTGCACTTTGTGTCGTCATTAAATTAAAACGGCAAAGGATTTCAGTAAGCATGGGATTGTCTTCTCCTTCATTCCTACTACGTGCACTGAATCTTAAAAGAGAGGCAGAAAATATGGTAGTTTAAATTTGATGTATGCATCTCTTCCCTTAGCATGTGTGTTAACCCCATGACTGTCAGTGAGAGCTCTGTGTATGTACTGAGAGGAGAATTAAACATTTCATGCAGACTATTTGGAACCCCCCCTGATGTCTTGCAAGTTTGAGGTTGACCAGTGCCAGCTCAGCTAGATGGGTTTTGTTTGACAGGCTCAGACATTGTAGAACCTGGAAGCTAGCTGAATAAATAAAAATATAGGCCCTGATTCTCAATGAGTTCCTCACTGTGCTGAGCACAGGAAGAGAGGGGGCTGTGCAAAGGTGACTCTTGTTATGTTGATGGTTTTCAATGAGAAATTAGAGTGTTTTATGTTTTGATCTTTTCTGGGTGTTTTACGTTTTGGTCTTTTCTTAAAATCCAGAACCTTAAACACACAAGAACTAAAAACAGAGATTGAGAGAGAGAAGGTTGCTCCCTCAAGTAGAGTGGCACAACTCACCCCTCCTTCCTTTAAGGCTGGTTCTTTGCAGACTGACTGCTGTGGACAAAGATTGCATGCTTCCTACACAATTTGTAGCCTGCAAGCAGGACCAGGAATCCTCTCAGGATTTAAAGTGACAGTTTGTAATTTTTACAGTTTGCAATACACCCCAAATTTAAGCCACCTTTAAGCTTCCCATATTCTGCAGCTCTATGGGCAGAAACACAATGGGGCCTTGTGGATCCCAAAGGATAAGCAATAAAAACACAGCAGAGGCTTAAATATTTGTAGGAAAGCCAGCTCTCACAGCCTCATCATCTGCCTACATTAGTTTTTGGTGCAATCAATAAAAAAAGATGAAACATGCCGTCTCATCCAAAAGCCCGTTGAATTAAATGGAAAGTCTTCTGCTGACTTCAGTGGGCTTTGGATCAGGGCCTCAGTGTGTGGCAGTACAATAGCTAAATTGCAGTAATTAGCCACTAGATAGCTTCAGATCAGGCTCTGGGTTGTCAGTCCAGGCTCTCAGATCTGCTTATGCTTGTTGTACTTGGAGGGCACTAACCAGAGAAGAGATACAGGTGCACAGGATTCAGGGAAACCTTCAGAGACAATCTAGCCATGGGGCTCCCGTGGGCTTTAAGAGGAGTTAGAGCCCCATGCACCACTTGGCAGATAATGACAGGTTTCAGAGGAACAGCCGTGTTAGTCTGTATTCGCAAAAAGAAAAGGAGTACTTGTGGCACCTTAGAGACTAACCAATTTATTTGAGCATGAGCTTTCGTGAGCTACAGCTCACTTCATCAGATGTATACCGTGGAAACTGCAGCAGACTTTATATACACACAGAGAATATGAAACAATACCTCCTCCCACCCCACTGTCCTGCTGGTAATAGCTTATCTAAAGTGATCAACAGGTGGGCCATTTCCAGCACAAATCCAGGTTTTCTCACCCTCCACCCCCCCACACAAATTCACTCTCCTGCTGGTGCTAGCCCATCCAAAGTGACAACTCTTTACATAATCAAGTCGGGCTATTTCCTGCATAGATCCAGGTTTTCTCACATCCCCCCCACCCCCATACACACACAAACTCACTCTCCTGTTGGTAATAGCTCATCTAAACTGACCGAGTTTAGATGAGCTATTACCAGCAGGAGAGTGAGTTTGTGTGTGTATGGGGGTGGGGGGATGTGAGAAAACCTGGATCTATGCAGGAAATAGCCCGACTTGATTATGTAAAGAGTTGTCACTTTGGATGGGCTAGCACCAGCAGGAGAGTGAATTTGTGTGGGGGGGTGGAGGGTGAGAAAACCTGGATTTGTGCTGGAAATGGCCCACCTGTTGATCACTTTAGATAAGCTATTACCAGCAGGACAGTGGGGTGGGAGGAGGTATTGTTTCATATTCTCTGTGTGTATATAAAGTCTGCTGCAGTTTCCACGGTATACATCTGATGAAGTGAGCTGTAGCTCACGAAAGCTCATGCTCAAATAAATTGGTTAGTCTCTAAGGTGCCACAAGTACTCCTTTTCTTTTTGGCAGATAATGAATGCTTTCCTATTTTGCACTGCATTTTTTCAAAGATAGAAGGGTGATAGAAACCCTTTTTATCCACTTTGAACATTCAAAGGGATGAATCGGGTTTGTGGGGATTTGACCCCGTGGTTCCAAGGTCTGATGGTATTTTAAAACCTGAGGCATAGCGCCCTAAGGGCTTGTCTACATTAGGGATTTTTGCACCATTGTCACTATGCTGGTGCACACTTTCAGTGTAGATACGTTGCACTGATGTAAAATGGAGCTTACACCAGTTTCATATCAGAGTAAACAAGAGCAAGCCCCAGTTCACACCAGTGCCGTGCATTTACACTCAGGATTTTGCCCCGATGCAAAAATCTCTAACGGAGATAAGTTCTAAGCTATCGTCTCTGGCAATATCTTTTCATTTCAATACTGGAAACATTTTGATACCTATTAGCTTGCTGTTTGGACAGGGCACCTGAGATGGTGCTTGAAATGCAAGCCAGACAAGGAATGGGTTTGTTCTGCTGGGTCATTTCCCTTCACTCCCTTTCTATGAATTTTTAGCTAATGTTCCCTAACATCGTCTGAAAATCCAGAGCCATGACCACTCACGTCACACTGGAAGATGCCTTGTCCAATGTGGACCTGCTGGAGGAGCTACCGCTGCCAGACCAGCAGCCATGCATCGAGCCACCTCCCTCTTCCATCATGTACCAGGTACGTATCAGCTCCCAGATTTTGGCTCGGTGAGGCGAGGTTTAGAATGGTAACTCCTAATAGGTGTGCATGGTGGTTTGCAGACCAGTATGAGTAAGGGATGAGGAGCAAAGTATGGGAGAAAATACAGGACAGAGGAGAGTTATTGCAACAGTAAAAGGTCACAAGATTTGCTTTGCTGTGTACAGGTCCTGTTGGTTCCTCTTTCTATGTAGTGCATATATCTTATAATATATACACCAGGTAATATATAGTATGTGGATATTTACTCTCCCCCCCCCCCCACTCCTGCCTTCTCGATTGGCTTGCTCCCCATGTTAATGTGTAACTATGTGTGCAGTGATTGATTTGTCATGCATGTAGGATTGCAAAATTTGTTTCACTGGGTCAGATAGGGCACTCGTGCTGTAGCGTTAGCATCTAGTACAAGTTATCAGCTCTACGGGCACTTGTGGGTCAAATTCCAGCCCTCCCGAGGCAACCCTGCCATCCTTTTTAATTTGTCTACTTGTCAAGTATTTTTACTCCTTCCTGGCCAGCTTCCTGTGAGCACGCTGGAGGGCAGAGCGCAGTTGTCCAAGACAGCCCCATTGCAGGGAGCCCACCCGGGCATGAATAGGGTTGAATCTAAAATACCTGGGCTAACCTAGTCTGGATAAACTGGTCAAGCCTGTTTCCCTATCATGATTAACCTCGGGGGTTGGCTGCTAGCCTTCACCACTGCCCTCCACCCCGCCACTCCTGTCCTCAGGCTGGCTCTCCCCAGCTACATTATCCCAGAAATGCATGTGCTGTGTAGATATCTAGTCTCCCGACAGTTACACTACAGATCCCCTTGTAACACTAGTAGGAGAGCAGTCTCATGGTCCTGTCTCTCTACTCTTAATCCAAGCACTGGGAGGAATGAATTACTGAAGTGAATACAATTTCGCCAAAGCCAGTTTTGTTGGCGGTGTTGGAGAGGAGCAGCATCATACATTTGTATCTTAGATTAGTTCACATCCAAGTCTGCCTGGAATCAGGGGACTGAGAGTCAGGACTCCTGGGTTCTTGATCTTCCCCTGACTCTCTATAGGGTCCCTGTACTTTTCTGTGCCTTGTTTTCCTCTCTCTAAGATGGTTCTATAAAACCTACCCTACAGTGGCATGGGGAAGCTCAGCTATTTATTATTTGTGAAGTGCTTTGAGGTCCTCGGTGGAGCAAATTATTCACGCTGTCAGTAGGGTCAGCCTGTAAGTAAGGAGCTCTCCCAGCAGGTGTTCGTGGCTGCAGTAGCTGCCACTTCATATTACTAGGAACTTGTTACGCACCTCACCGTCCCAGAGCATCTCCTCGCAGCAAGACCTGGCATCGCAGCACTTCCACCTCAGTTTCCCCACAATGATCTTCAGCCTGCGCCCACCATCGCCTCCAGCCCACTTCTGGGGTAGCACAGTCCCTGAGTGGAAGCTCCCTTGTTACAGGCATCCTCCCAGTGGCAAAGGCCTGTCTGACTGACTAGCCTCCATCATCCAGGTCAGGTCTACGCTCCTACCAACGGCTCTTAGCAGGTCACTGCCCTCAGCCAAGTCCTAGCCGGAGCAGCTTGTCCACCCTCCGCCCCCAGTCAGCGCTCAGCTGCTGGGCTTTCCTCCACCCTCACTCTCCCTGCTCTCTTCCGCAGACAGCCCTACACTGCTGGGGTCTCCTGGGTTTTTTTTAAGTCCTACGCCCAGCATAGGTGTAGTGGGGTGGGGCTGACTGAATAGGGCAGACTGGCCCCAAGCCTCTTGTCTCTTAAAGGGGCAGGCTGCCCTCTGACAGCTCTAGATTGTTTTTCTCCCTTTGGCCCCAATCTATGGCCATTCACGTCGGTGGGAGCAGGCTGGAGCCCTGTGTCAGTTAGTCTGGGCAGCAGCAAGGGCCTTAAAGCCAGAAGTCAGTGCCCTTCATTTCTTTTTCTCTCAGCGCATCTACGTACAAGAGCAACCAGTGGGACTTGGCTGTTAGTTTTCAGATCTGGTGCCTCATACACATTCTCACCTTCGGGGCTGCCTGACTTGGAAATGTGGATATTATCCTGCCCTTTATCACCGTTTATTCTTGGTAACCCCTGCTAACAAAGTGTGGCTCTCTGTCCCCCTCCAGAGGCTGGAGCATGAAGGGTAATGAGCCTGCCTCTGCCTCTGACTGAACGGACCTGACCATGAGGGAGAGACTTGTTCTTTTAGACCCAAGGGTGCTGGGATCAGTCCATGCAGATGACCTGACTGGGGGAGTCATTACATGTTTTTTTGGGATCTTCCTTCTTAATGAATTATTTAAGCCCTTTTGGCCATCTGGAGCAGCTGGACCCTAACAAATATCCAACAGTGCTTTATCCCTTGACCATTTGTTGTGTCTTCAGGCTAATTTCGACACAAACTTTGAAGACAGAAATGCCTTTGTGACCGGCATTGCCAGGTACATCGAACAGGCTACGGTGCACTCGAGCATGGTGAGTCTCCAAGCCCACCCAGGACCCTTGCATTCCTAGCCCCTACCAGGGTCTGCGCCACCATGTCTTCATGGCTGTTTTTACCTTAATTGACACTTATCTGGATATGCCTGCCCACGCTGCAGTCGCCCCTCTGATTGCAGGGTAGACATACCCTCGGTCCCTGTGGTGCTGATCCATAGTTCTTTCTAGTGGGCGTTCCACAGCCATACGTTTCTGTATGTTGCAGAATGAAATGCTGGAAGAAGGACATGAATACGCAGTGATGCTTTACACTTGGAGGAGCTGCTCTCGGGCCATACCCCAGGTAAGAAATAGCATTGGATTCCCAGAAGGGACATGCTAGAATAGCCAGCTGGCTGTCACTTACAAATGCCTTGATCTGTGCTGGGGAAATCAACCAGAAGGAGAGAAGACCCTTATTGGGGTGTGGTGAGAAGCTGGTATGAGACTACACTGACCCCACCAGCCCAAGCATCCCACTGCTGGAGAGGAGAGGGGCGTGGGCTGCAGTACCAACAGCACTAGACAGCTGCTATAGTAGCTGCAGAGCTTTGGGGTACGTGCTTTGAGGACTTGTGCTGTGCCCAGGGCAGGACCCATCTCTGTCTGTTACGAGGAGTGTGGGTAGCACCTGCTGTAATTAAAGCTGTGTTGTAACTTCCATTCTAACCCCTCTTCTTCAGATGCTCCTCACTTTCTCACATTCCTTTGGAGCTGGAAGTTGTTTCAGCTCAAAGTTTATTTGCTTTTGAGAAGTTAGGCCCAGATCCTCAAAGGTGCCTAACTCCCATTGATTTCAAGGGGAGTTAGGTGCCTAAATACCTTTAGGATCTGGGCTTTAGAGTGAAATCAGCGGAGCTGAATTTGGAAGACACTTTCCCCCTGATTCTATTCCACAGGTTACATTGGGATGATTTCAAACTTGGCTTGTTTGGGGGCTTCCACTGAGATTTAAACATCACGTGAAGTTTGAAAAAAAAAACCCCACGTAACACACACACGTCACAGCTGTATGTGTAGCTCTGTGTGATACAGATATTGTGCATGCAGACAAAGAAGACCTCCTGGTTCAGAGTTCAGCCTTGCCAGAGGCTGGATGAACACACGTTTTTTTGGCTGCTGATACATTTAAGTGTTGATCCAGCCATAATTTTTGACACCTTTTCCAGCCAAAGTTGGGCATTTTTCTAGCCCCTCTAGCTACAACAAAACCCTAAATTTTGAAGGGCCCAATCCTGAAAACACTCACACACAAGTTTGCTCATCTGTGGTCCTCTCTTGAGTGATTGCTTGCAGGATTAGGCTCAAGGCCTGTAGGCTGTAGTGTGAGTCTGTGTTACGTCACTGTGGTAGATGCTCTTAGCAGGGCAGATACAACATGCTTTTATTATCCACAGTGACACCGGGGTTTCTCAGTAGTGCAATGCAGCCAAAGACGTATGTCCACATGGCTGACAAGGCTGATGGTTATGCCTTTGTGGCACCCCAGCAAAGGTCAAAATGCAATTCCCCTGGGGCTGTCCTTTGTTGGTGGTTTCATGAGTCGCAGCCTCCTGGGGCTTTGTGCTCCTGCCTGAATATTTGCTTATTCCCAATGATTTTCTGTTCCTGTGCTATAATTGCCTCTTTCACTCACTGAAACATGCTGCAGGCAGAGTTTGAATGGATGGCGAGAGAGAGAGAGAGAGAGAGAGAGAGAGAGATTGCCACAGGCGTGGGGAGAGGGGATTGAATGCCACCGAAGATTTGTTTTTTTGGTGGATAAAAATCTTTACCCTCCTGGTGCTGTTACTCTGCCTATCTGAGTCGCTTGCTGCACTGACCCTGCTCTGCCTCAATGCATCTCTTACATGAATTCCTAAGGGCAAAGGTGCTTTTATGGCCAGATGTTTTATAGCAGATTCAGCCCCAAACACAAGATAGAGCAGCCGCTCTGCTGCTGTAGATTGTGCCAGTTTGTATCGGCTCACCAGCAGCTGTTACCTCTGTGAGAACCGCTGGAGCAGAGTGCGCTCTGGCCATGCCCTCGATGTGCCCCTTAGGCTAGGGAGGCTGTGCGTGGGTGGCATGGAGCTGGCCATTTGGGGATTTGCTTATACAGGGACGCTGTTAAGGCAGCTTCCCAGTGGTGCAAACTCATTGGAATAGGGGTTGAGGATCTTCCCTTACACCATTGTGCCCACATAAAGGAGGGTGGAGGTAGAGTTGAGAGAGGCCTCAGAGCTGAATTTCAAATGAATTCAGAGAAGCATGAAATTTGGCAATGTCGGATTTGGATAGGCATTTATAACTCTTACCAGGCTGTCCATTAAAGAGACAGAGTTTGGAATTAAAGCAGGTGAAATTCGGATAAGCCTCTCCCCGTATCCAGGTTTCCATGACCTGGATGTAGGTGACCTATCAAGATATTTTTAATTTGAAAATAAAATTAATAATAATGATAAAGCCCCCACAACATTTTGTAGTACAGTCACAACTCATCCAAAAAAGCCATGACTTGCTGTTGACCGTAACGGGTCTGTTCCAGAGCTGCAAGAACATTAAAGCCTCGAATGCACTTTGAGTTTTGTGACTTTGCAATGTGAGGCATCAGTGCAACTTTACAGCGCGATGACCTTTCATCTTCATGTGATGACATCAAGCCAGGACTTGTCCTGTTTGATGGCCAGGCAAAAAATATATCAGAAGACTTTGCTTCCCAGAGCAATGCTGCAGGCCACCATCCTCGTTTATAATATCTGAAAGGAATCCCAGGTCTGAGAATTGCTTCCATAACAACAAACTTGGTTTTCAACTCGACTGTCCTCCTTAACCCAGGCCAGGCTTCACCTTGTCATTTTGACCTTGAAATCATCAGAGGATGGGAGCCGGTGCAAACCAGAGATGTTGTTAGGAATGCTAATGATGACCATTTGTTGCTATTGTTCAGGTGAAATGTAACGAACAGCCGAACCGGGTGGAAATTTATGAGAAGACCGTGGAAGTTCTGGAGCCGGAGGTCACCAAGCTGATGAAGTTCATGTATTTCCAGGTAAGTGGTGAAGGAGGGAGGCAGGAGCTCTATTCCCAGTTCAGTATTTGTGGCTCTCTGATCTCATTTCCCTGCCAGTCCAGCCTGGAGGACACCTTCCCAACTTCTCTTGGTAGAGCTGAGACACCCTTTAGCTTTGCAGCTGCTAGTAGTCATGTGGGATACCTCACAGCAAAATCTCTAAGGCACACAACTCTTGCCTAGCCTCAGATTTAATTATAAACTCAAAATTCAGCCCGGGTCATAAGCCTTTGGGCAAAGCTGGGCCCAGAAGCTTATGAAGGTCCAGGTGGCTTCAGCCCTGCTGTAGATATTTGCTCTGCAATGTATTTCTATAAGGCCGCCACCCCACTAATACTTAGAGACAACAACTAATGTTTTTAGTGCTCTGTGAAAGGAAATGAAGGGTTAGGAGAGAACAGTCACCCTCCAGAGCCTGAACGGTGGGTGTTGAGGAAGACACAAAGGCACTTACATCACCATGTTTTTGTTGGCATTTCTGCAGCAGGGGGAAATATTTGAGTTCAGTATTACATGTGATAGAAGATAACAAGCATGAGGTTGCCAGACCACCTGCCCCTTTTATTTTTGCTCAGATTAATACTTTTTGTCAGCCACTTCCACAGCTCCCCAGATTCAATTTGCTTTGAGGTGACAGTGGTTTTGGAGAGATTTCCCCTTCTGTCTGGTTGCAAAGCCAGGCACAGTCCAGGCCACCCATTTGTAAGAGGACGTGACCCCAGATAATGAAAGTCTTCTGAGGCTGGAAACCTTTCCTTTACACTTGCCACTAGAACTGTCCAAAGTAAATAAGGGCACAGAGACTTAAATTTAGCAGTGCTCAGACTTGAGACATCCCAAAGAACTTAACAAAATCACGTGCTAGGTTCTGGCAGAGCATGTAGACTGATCACTGGGCTGTCCTCCAGGAGTTCACACAGAACCTTGGTCAGCTACACCCACTTCTAATGCTGGCTGGGGCCAGGTTTCTCCCTTGCTCTTTTTCAGTGCCATGAGAGCTGAAGAGCTGAGCAGAAGGGCTCTTGGCTTAACACCTTATTTTACCTTGCAGAACTCACCACTCTATGTGACATTGTCAGCCCAAGGCCTCATACAGGGTTTGAACCCACATTCCTCTGGCCAGCAGTGAGAGTACTTTCAAATGAGCTGGGATATTTGTAACAAAGCCTCTTCATCTGTCATCAGTGGGGTTTGAACATGGAACCTTCAGCACTGTAACAGGGTACATGTAACAGGGTACATGCCCTGCTGGGGCACATCCTGGTGGCAGGGTCTGGGGATTAGCTCTTGCCTCATCTGGCACCCCTTTCTGTCAGTTGCTCGCCCCGTGGCCTCTTTCTCTCTCTCTGGAACTTGGGGTGCTCCCTCTTTGTGACTCAGCCCTCCGGGCAGGTCACTATTTAGTCCTTCAGGGGTGTCAAAGTCCCACTGGACAACTTGTCCATATGCCATGGGAGGCAGTCTTCCGGTTCAAGTCCAGGTGCAGGGGAACTCGGGCCCATCCACTGTTCTGAGTGCAAATCCAGGGACCCTGTGCCCAGTAACAACAGTCTATTCAGTCTCAGACCCAGTTGCTGTTTCCCTGGGCTCCTTCCTACCTCACTTCTCTAGCTCCCGGCCCATCTCTGGGTTTACCAGCCCGAGCTTTCTCCACTCCCAGTGGCTACTCCTCCCCCGGCTTCTTGCTAGCCTCTGTAGTGCAGGGTAGGAGCCAAGGGTTCGCTTTCCCCCTAGATCTCCTCCTCGTCCTTAGCCAACTCCCTTTCTCTCTAGGGAATGACTGCAAAGCTCCTCCCTGCAGCCCCCTCCTGCTCTCATCTTCCTGGCTTTATACACGCTCAACCTGGCCCTGCCCAGCTGCGCTTCTTCATCATTTAGACTTTATCCGTTCCCGATTCTCCTCCAAGTGCAGCCCATAAGGTTAGTTGGCCCCTGTTAACCTACTCAGGCCTTGGGTGGGGTGGACATCCCATCTCAGCACTAAACGTGCAGGCCTATTCCACCTGAGCCGGCGGAGGAATGCTGTTAGCTAGTGGCAGTAACGGGCTGTTTTCCATTTGGTGGGCCGATCGTTAGATGGGGACATGTCGCACACTGGTGCACACTGAGCCACTGGATTACATAGTTCTACTAAGCACGAACAGGACACCCACTAAGTACGTTCCCCTTCCCTTGTCTTCCAGCGCAAGGCTATCGAGCGGTTCTGCAACGAGGTGAAGCGCTTGTGCCATGCTGAGAGAAGGAAGGATTTTGTCTCCGAGGCCTATCTCCTGACGCTGGGGAAGTTCATTAACATGTTTGCCGTGCTGGATGAGCTGAAGAACATGAAGTGCAGCGTCAAAAATGACCACTCTGCCTACAAAAGGTGGGAGGGGAATCACCTGACTTGCACATTTCTGTAGCGTGCGGGGAGGAGGCGTAGGATGGCCAGGGCTGTGTCTCATTTGCTCCTGACTCAGGGCCGGAGGAGGAAAGATGACCCAGTGGTTAGGATGCTAGCCAGAGCATGGGATTTGAGTTCCTCCTCCATCAGACTTCCTGTATGACCCTGGGCAAGTCACTTAGTCTCTCTGCATCAGTTCCCCATCTGTGAAACGGGGACAGTAGCTCGCAGGGATGTTATGAGGATAGATTAAGGATTGTGAGGTGCTCAGATACTACTGTAATGGGCGTCAGATAAATAGCTTAACTAGAGAGAGCTAATGAGATTATTTTGCAGGTGATTAACAGTTTCTGCTAAAATGCTGTGCAGTGCCGGATGGCTACTAAACGAAACAAAAATGCAAAGCATAAGCCTCGGAGTTGCGTGAATGTCGTTAGAGTTTTAGTGGCATAAGTTTCCATAAAGGGTTTTGCTCTTTGGGGGATTTTCCCCTTAAAACTACAGAATATATTCAACACAAACCAGTCATCAGTCAAGCAAAATAGAGGAGACCAGACTGCAGGAGACAGCAGACCTGCAAGGCAGCCATGGCAGGTTAAAGAGCTTGGATTTAAACAAAGCATTCTTTGCTTGTGTTACTAATGACACGTAGGGATATTAAAGGTATAACATTTTAAAAAGCTAACCTCAGTGTCCCTATCTGTAAAATGGGGATAATGTTACTGACTTCCTTTGTAAAGCGCTTTGAGAGCAATGGATAAAAAACTCTAAAGAGCTAGCTATTATTATTTTCACCATTTATGTTGTCTGCTCATTAATAGCATTTTGCTCACCTTGGACAGTAAAACTAATCTGGGCTGTTCATGGTCACCTTCACATGCTGGTTCTCAGGCACTAGCAAAGCATTACAGTGTCTGCACTGCAAAGATCGCAGAGTGATAACTGCATCTCCTGATGGAACTGGTGTAGAGAAGACAAAACACTAAGCTGTGAGTCAGGAGGTCTGAGGTCTAGTTCTGGCTCCCCTCTTGACTTAGATTACAGTGTAAATGGGTAAATATCCACTTAACCTCTCTGTGTCACAATCTCCTTGTCTGTAAACCAGGGAGAATGGACCGTACTCAGAACTGTGAAGTGTTTTATAGATAAGAGGGACACTGTAAGGGCTAAGTATTATTCTGATAAAAAAGGCTGTTTTCATTTAAAATTAAAAGAAAATCATGAAAATGTTTCTATTATTATTAAATTGTATAAAACTTGTATTTTTTTTACCCAACCTACGTGTTGGGGTAAAATGACCTGACTGCTGTGTTAACATGGCATCAACATTTTGACTCCACCAAGAGATAACATGATACAAAGAGCCCTGTACAACACAGGATCTTCTCCTTTCAGAGCTGCCCAGTTTTTGAGGAAGATGGCTGACCCTCAGTCTATTCAGGAATCCCAGAACCTCTCCATGTTCCTGGCGAACCACAATCGGATCACACAGGCAGGTCGCTTTCCTTCACTCTTTCTCCCACCACTTGCTCAGCAAAGTTGCCAGTTAGTGCAGGAAGGGGAGACATGATTGCATTGGCAGAGCTAAGAGTGCTGCAGGTTTGGCTCTTGAGATGACTACGTTGTTCATTATGCCCTCGATCTAAAGCCCAGTGAAGCCAATTGGAGTCTTTCCGTTGACTTCTGTGGGCTTTGGATCAGGCCTTACATCCAGCTAACAGAACATCTGGGATGACTTTAGAGTTCTCAGGGTATCAGCTACCAGTGATAATAAGAAGGTGTGGGGATCAAAAAGACACAAGATGAGTGGGATGAGGTTGTCTCTTTGGTAGAAGATTTACCCTTCAATCTCTCATACTGAGGTTCCTGTTTTCACCTACTGGGTGCATCCATGCCTTGAGTTTTCGCCAGATGAGACATGCACAATGTAAAATACAGATGGAGCCAGGAAGGTCCACACTCCACACTTCCACTCCTTCTTGGGGATTGCAGATCAGAAAAGGGCTTCAAAATGCTCCTTCCTGATCCCATGGTTTGTGCTGTTGAGGTGGAACATGACACAAAGACAAGAGACGACATTAGCAGAGTGGAAAGTCTCCTCTTGAGCCAGATCATTTCTCTTCTGCCTGTCACGTCACAGTGTTATGTTTGGCTGTTACCCCTGGTTCTCTGGTGACCACACTGGAAGACTCAATCTAAGGAGGGAGTGTTGTTCCTGAAGGCCTGAGAGCTGGAGAAAAGGGGTTTGTTTCTCATGCCTGGTGCCGTAGTGGAGCTAACATTTCCTATACAGCCTCAGGTGAGGCTAGCAGGTGACATTCTCCTCTTGCTCCTGGTTCTGAAACTGTGTCCTTCGACACAAGGTCAGGATGACTAAGAACCACTAACCGTTCAATGAAACACAGATGGCCCTGTCAGTCTGCAAACTGCAGGGTGAAAATCTTGCTCCTTGAGCCTCCAAACGTTTCCTCCACCTTCTTCTCCCTGACCCTTCCACTGTGGGATTAATGTGGGGTGTGTTGGCGTTTCAGTGTTTGCATCAGCAGCTGGAAGTTATCCCTGGCTATGAGGAGCTGCTGGCGGATATTGTCAACATCTGTGTGGACTACTATGAAAACAAGATGTACCTGACGCCCAGCGAGAAGCACATGCTCTTAAAGGTAAATCCGGCTTGTGCACGCTCTCGCATTCTTTGGCTTTTGTTCCATTTCTTAGCGGTGAAATCCCTTTGTGCTCCCACCTCTATTTTTTCTCTCCCTTTTTCTTTCCTTTGTTCCCTTCCTCCCTTGTGGTATCAGATTTGTGGGGAGGGGGGTCTCTCCACGCACACAGAGCCAGATTCTTCTGGAGACAAGGGCTAGAATGACAAGGATGCAGCCTCTCCAAGGAATATCAAAGCTCCTGCAAAGCCACCTTGCTCCCTGTCCTGCCCACTCTCCATCTTCCCTCCCTTAATCTTTTCCTCCTTCCTTCCATTGGGAATTCATAGTCTCCACTGCTTGCCCCACTTCCTACCTTTACTTCTCCCCCTCCAGGCCCCATGACGTTCTGTCCAGCTGAGCAGAGCCGGGCACAGCTGTACAAATGGGTCACGCAGGCATGTTCTGAAGCATTACCTCTGCCCGGGGGCTGCGTGTGCTGCTTCCATGGCATTCCCAGCTGCCAGAGCAGTGACTCGTCCCTGTACGGCGCTTTCAGTAGGTCACTGGGCTGCCTTTTCTCAGTCTGTTCTCTCTCCTCTCCTCTTTATTCTTCCTGTCCTTTCTGCTTTCCTTCCACAGACCCTTTTTTCCCTTCTTCCTTTCTCTCTTTACTCTGTTCCCTGTCGCTCCTCGCCACCAGCTTTCTCCTTCTGGACCCTTTACCAGGTCGGCAACCCAACCCAGCGTGCCCAGAGGATACGATGGCTGTACCATGCATTCAGCCAGCTGGCGGAGCCTCTCACTGATGAACGGGAAAGCTCTGTGCACGGCTGTCAAGTGGTGCTTCTGTTGTCACACTCAAGTGTTTAGGAGCCGCTGTTTGCTTGCATGGGCCAAAAGCAGCCTCATGTGGCAAACCAATCCCTGGATCTGGATCTGAATCCCCCCTCCCCGACTTAGCAGCCCCTGAATGTTGCTGCTCAGGCCCCTGGCTAGCAGTGATGGAACCGATTGTTGGATTCTTTGGGCTCCTTCCAGCATTTGTGCCGTGACCCCAAAGAGGCCATAAAGTGAACGTGTCAGGATCTCGGGCGAAGGTAGGCAGGACTAGTGGCAGGAGCTTGATAGGCAGGAACAACTGCCGGGTCTCAGAGTCAGTGTCACGGTCAATAGTCAGGCCAAGGTCAAGCCAAAGACTGGTATCGGATCAGGCTGAGGGTCAATACCGGGTGTCAGGATCCATGTGAGTGTTCCTTGGTTCAAGCAGGAGTCATGGTCCTAGTCAGAGCTGAAGTCAATAGTCAGAGTTCACGAACAGAGAATGCAGGGTGGTCATGGCAGCTAGCTAACGATTCACATTGTTATCTGCTGAACACTCCCTGGCCTGCCCCTTTGGTTTATATAAGTACAAAGTAATGCACATTGGAAAACATCATCCCAACTATGCATACAGAATGATGGCGTCTAAATTTAGCTGTTACCACTCAGGAAAGAGATCTTGGAGTCATTGTGGATAGTTCTGTATAAACATCCACTCAATGTGCAGTGGCAGTCAAAAAAGCGGACAGAATGTTAGGAACCATTAGCAAAGGGATAGATAATATCATAGAAAATATCATAATGCCACTATATAAATCCATGATATACCCACACCTTGAATAATGTGTGCAGTTCTGGTCTCCCCATCTCAAAAAGTGTAAATTAGAATTGGAAAAGGTACAGAGAAGGGGTATGAAACAGCTTCCATATGAGGGAAGATTTAAAAGACTGGTACTATTCATCTTAGAAAGGAGATGACTAAGGGGGATATGTTAGAGAAGTCTATAAAATCATGAATGGCATGGAGAAAATTAATAGAGAAGTGTTGTTTACCCCTTCACATACCAAAAGAACTGGGGGGCATGCTGAGAAATTGGTAGGCATTCAATTTAAAAGAAACAAAAGAAAGTAAGTACTTCTTCACACAATGCACAGTCGACCTGTGGAACTCATTGCCATGGAATGTTGGGAAGGTCAAAAGTATAAATGGATTAAAAAAAGAACTAGATAAGGTCATGGAGGATTGGTCCATCAATGGCTATTAGCCAAGATAGTGAGGGACACAACACATGCTCTGCGTGTCCCTAAACCTCCAACTGCCACAAGCTAGGACTGGATGACAGGAGATGGATCACTCTAAATTGCCTTCTCATGCCCTATAAAAAGGGAATTCCCTTCTGACCTATGCTGTCTATTTATCGTTTCATCACAATGACTCTAGCCTCTCCTGTTGTCTCCGTGTCCTTCCAGGTGATGGGCTTTGGTCTCTATCTGATGGATGGGAATGTCAGCAACATTTACAAACTGGACACCAAGAAGAGGATCAATCTTAGCAAAATAGACAAGTTCTTCAAGGTCAGTGGCCTGTGCAGGTCAGGTTTGAGATTGCTGTCAATTAATGATCCAGCCTGCTTGGGTGTGATTTTTAAAGCAAACAACAAACATATTTAAAGTTCAGATAAAGGCCTAAGGATCCTCAGACTGATCCAGGTCCTTCTTGTGGCGACGGAGACGGTTGGATTGCCATGGCTCTGGGTGAGCAGGTGGCATATTTCTGATAGTCGTTTGTACTCGCTGGAGAAATACAGGGTTTTCCGGCCCTATTGAAAGTCTAGTCCAATTCATTATGGTTTCTGAGGTTAATGATTGGCTTTTCTTTTCTCTTTAGCCACCATTGACAAAAGGAGCCAAACAACCCTTTGCCTTGCTTTATGCACCCTCATTTCATCTGGAAATCAGAGCCTCTGTAGGGTAGAAATGTGAATTGGAGGCGTGTGTTGGCTTGAACCTGCACCTCAAAATGCTCAGGAGGTTCTGTAGAGAATTAATGCTAAGCTTTGATGGAACAATTTCACTCCTTTCGTTCTGGGCTGGCCTGTGGCTGTATGCCATGCTGTGCTCAGGGAGTGGGTTGCAAAGGGTCTGTGCAGGAATGGGAGCACCTGGATAAGTTCCGCCTGGTTCCTCCTGGTTTCCTCCTTGGACTCTGCGTGTATGCCAGGATGTCCACCCATACCAGCCCAGCTCCGTTGGCTGCTGCAGAAAAAGCAAAGGGCTAAGTCCCTGCACTTATTCTGCCTCTCTTTCCCCTCTGTGGGTAGTCCAGTACCTAGCCCTTAGCAGAGTGCCTGCAACCCCTGGCTTGGGTTGCAGTTGTTCCCTCAATAGGAAAAAGAAAAGGAGTACTTGTGGCACCTTAGAGACTAACAAATTTATTTGAGCATAAGCTTTCGTGAGCTACAGCTCACTTCATCGGATTCATTCATAGGAGAGCGTCTTCTCCCTTCCATCGCTTACATGCCCAGAGCCAGCCATAAATTGGCCCTTTAGATTTGGGTCACATCAGCACTAGCAGACACGGTAAGATCTGGCATTGAATAGTTGTGGCTGCAGCAATGAATAGGAGAATAAAGCATGCTTTCCTTATGAAATGTATTGTATCCTGTTCACTTCCCATTAGCTATGGTAATACTTACCGTTAGCTTTCCGTCCACTGAGTCCTTTTGCCAATAACTTCCCTTTCATCTAGTCCTGTTGACTTAATTTTCCTCCTAAAATAGGGGGAGGGGGGGAGTGAATCCCTGCACTATTAACAACTTCTGCCTCATCTGAGTGAAAATGAAAACCAACCTTGTACTTAATGGATGAATATTGCTCAACCACGAAAGGATTTTGCCCTCTTACATAGGGCTGCTGTTTGCTGCCTTGTCACTCTCATCCCTTCCTGTCAACCCATGGTGTTGTTAGTGTAGGAGATGCGTTGAGCCCAGGAACTTGGGTTAGACTAAAGCATTTAGGTCCTCAGGAGACTAAAGTGTTGTGTGCCACAGACAGAGAAGAGGCGAGACCAAGCTGCCACCAGTGCCCGAGGCCCATGCAATGGCTGGATCCTTGTCCGTTTCTGAAGTCAGCAGGAGCCCTTAATGCTAGCGTACTGCTTTATTTCTCTTTGAGGGGGCAGGGGGGGACGGGGTGAGTGGTTCAGGGTTATTATGTATTTATCTTTTCTATACATACACTCTTCTCTCTCCAGCAGCTGCTGGTGCTTGTGTATGGCCCATTGCCTAGGGACTCCCGGGGGCTGGAGATGTGGCCCTGTACATTACTGAGCAATAAACAGGGTATCACCAAAGCTAGGGGCCGGGAGGTCTATGGCAGGATGATCCTCCCTATGTAAAAAGCCTGGCATAAGTTTTCAGTCATTTTCATCATCTGGGATGCCTGTGCGTCCGGGTGTGCACCTCCCCTTCAACTGGCAGGCCCAATCCAGCACCTCAGGGGCAGAAGATGCCTTCTCGTGTCCTTTTGTGTTGCTCTCCAGCCAAAGGAAAACCTCTACCATATTTCAACCCTCTTATGTTTTCTTTTCCAGCAGCTGCAGGTGGTTCCCTTATTCGGCGATATGCAGATAGAACTGGCCAGATACATTAAGACCAGTGCTCACTATGAGGAGAACAAATCCAAGTGAGTGCCTGCCGTAATGTCTCTTGGCTTCCATGTGTCCGGAAAGGGAAGGGAGTTGTGACACTCCTTCTCTAGTGTGTGAGGTCTGTGCGTGGCTGGCTCCAGGGGCCCAACTGTGCCCAAGGGTGCTTGGGCAGGAGTGCACAGGAGCGAGCATGCCTGAATGTGAGGTCAGTTGTCTGTGCAGGCGTATACGCATGTGTGTGAAAGACAGGTCGTTCCTGCAGGCACGAGTGTGTGTGTTTGTGTGTGTGTGCAGGAAAGTGAGAATGTGGACATATAAGTGTGCCTATATGTAGGGTGCACTGGGTGTGTGCTCACAGTCATTGGGGAGTGTGAGTGTGCATCCATGTGAGTGTACGTGGGTGGCTGTGAGTTTAGGCACATGAGTGAGAAGGCACCCAGGAGTGTCATATGGCTCTGTGCCCATGCTTGTGTACTTGCACAGGAGGGGGGCGTAGCTGTGAGTGCCGGTCTGAGTGTTCGTGGGTGTGTGGGCACTCAGGTGCACAGGCTGTGTGAATGTGAGTGATGTGTGCCTGCTCTGGGCAGATTTTAATCCACATTTTTGATCCGGGGTACAAAATCCTCCAGAGCATGAACACAGCACTGGATTCTATCTGTGCAATAAGCAGGGCACCTTTTCCAGTGGAAGCAGTTACAGTGAGCCACTCCACAGCCCTTCCCCACGCGGGAGGTTTTCATATGGGACACAGGGAATGAAACATGCACCTACCAGTCAGATCCATTTGACGTGAGTTTCTTAATAGTGGTGATTCCATTTTCCTCAAACAGTTTCTTTCCCTGGGGTTTGGTGGTGCTGTTGGTTTATGGAATCATCTAGGATCTGGATTCAAATCCAGTTTAGCTCTCACGTGAAATGAGTGTGAAGCTGTCAGTTTAGATCACATCACATACACACACAAACACACCTGTCTGCACGGTTTGGCGCAGTGGTCAGTTACTGCTCCAAAGCACGTCAGAGATGGATGTGGATATCCCTGTGATAGGTTGGGATTAAGGTGCATTTGCAACTTTGCACATGGCACATAAGCAGTGCCTGACTGAGAAAAGCTATTGTCCCAGGTATCCATCTGGCTTTCCGTGAGCATTCTTCTGTGGAACCAAATAACAGAAAAGCAATACAGAAATGTGCTGTGCTGCTTTCGTGTCTCCACTGTCCCAAGGAGCCTCTTAGGCATTGATTGGTTCAGTCCTTGATCATTCCTAAACCAACATTGTCCGCTGTGTTAAACTGCTACTGCTGATTTTTGTGAAGTGGACTTAAGTCCGCATAAAATGAACCAAAGGCTTCAAACTCAGTTCGCTTCTCTCCTCAAAGTGAAGTGGAGCCTCAAAAGTCATTTGTTCACTGATCCATCCACTCTAGCTACCAAGGCTCTTCAACGGTCTCATAAAGAGACCAGTCTCCTTTCATGGGGCTAGGAAATTACTCAGTGTTTAATCACCAGGCTTTCATTTATATTCCAGTTTCACAATGGAGGCCAGGCACACCTAGGATAGGCTTCCACTCCTCCCGCACAGGTGCTGGCTGGAGGTGTCCTCATGCACCTTCCCAACCAAGAATGTATCTGACCTTCCTTCACTCTTTGAGTTGTTTGCACAATGTTAATTATTTTTGCACAAGGAATTTTGAAACATTGTGGGTGGGGTTTCAAAAATTCCCACCAGAACTTTGGGGGTTTTTTGTTTTTTACAAAAAAGCAGGTTTTGAAAACATTTTGGGAAAAAATTTTTGGTTGGTCGTTCCAAGTTTTCAGTATCCGAAAATCAAAACTCAGAATTTTTTAACAAAATGTATCAGTAAAAAATGGAAATTTTTGACCAAAGTGAAAATGTTTGTTTTGATCGTAAAGCCATTTGTTGATTTTAAAAAATGTTTCAATGAAAAATTTCTACCAGCTCTCCTCATTTTGCCATCCTAGAGTCTAATTAGCTGACTACCTGTCTGACTAATTACGTTTCTAATGTGCCCATCACCACAGTACGTGGGCACCACATATCTCTCCTCCCCCTGCCTTGCTAATACACAGGTTCCTTTTTCACACACTTCCTAACTGAAGTTGCATGGGACTTTGGCTACGAAACTGCTCCAAGTGTCTATGTGGGGGGGGCCATTTATTCCCTGCACCCTTTTAGACTTGCATTTTCATCATTTTCCCCCTTTCTGTCCCTTCCTCCCACCTCCCTCACTCCAGATGGAATTAATTGTATTTTTCTTGCACGGCATTTTATTTCTTCCCTATGGACTACAGTATATGTGGCAGGCTGGGCTGGTGCAGCACCGGCCATCCCTGTTAACCTGCCGATTCTCTTGTGGGAAGCACAGCACACTGAAACGGGTAAGAGCCGAGTAATGGGATTCTGGGATAGCACCATCAAGCACTTACCAGAACTTCAGCCACCACAAGTACCTGCGCCAGGAGCTTGTGTGGACATAGTCTCATGGGAATGCTCCCACCACAAGCAACTTATTCAAGTCCCTCTCCTGTGCACAAGAGTGTCAGGCAGCATCTAGCCATGGAGCAGAAACAACACCTTGTGTCATACCGTGGCCTGTCACGCGGCATGAAGAGCCAATTCCGAATACTCGAAGCAGCTGCCATGACGATAGTTCATGAGAATCCCATGGGCTGACATTTGTGTGCAGAAAACATTTTTGCGATAAGGCCAAGTTCCAAGTCTGGATAGTTCATGATCAGGAATACGGGGGCTAAATTCATTGAATGGACCTAGTTCTTATTTCCACTAATACTCTTTTATACTGGCCATGTAAAGAAGCCAGGACCCTCACTTTAAGGTTCTTTAAAGACTACGAAAGAGAATCCTGGCCAATCGATTGTTCTCTGCATATTAAATTATATACAGGTTTTTTGCTGGGGTAGGAATATATAATCCAGGACCAAAAGAAGAGCAGGAAGGAAGCAGCGTTCCTTGCTGTCCACTGCTGTGGTACCCCACTATTGTGGTAGAAAACACAAACCAGAACTTCAAGGCTGGGCGCACAGAGGATGATATTGTTCGGAGATGGTTATCCTCAGGGTTGGGAGGTAGGGATTGGGCGATGCACAGCCTGTGTTGCTCCTATTCGTTCCCTGAGCACTCCCCTTACAGCAGCATGGATAGCAGCCTAGAGATGGCTGGCTGTTTACTGCTCTCCGTGGCTGGAAGGTAAGTACAGCATGCCCATCTGCATTACAAGGGCGGAATTGAAGGAGGCTTGTCCTGGCAGAAGAGGTAGATGAGAACCCGGTGTAACACCATGTGAACCAGCCTCGGGACGGAGGAAGACCGTGCATCACACACACGCTTTGTCCAGCGGCTCAGGGTGGGACACGGGAGAGGACTGCTGCTCGCTGAGTCCCGATGCTCTGAAGGTGACAGGCTTTCAGAGCGCCCAGGGAAGGCGGCAGCTGAGCGGGAGGTCGCGTTCCGCTGGGTGCCCTCTCCGTTAAAGAGGCCGCTTTTCTGCCCAGGTGGATGTGCACTCAGAGCAGCATCAGTCCCCAGTACAACATCTGTGAGCAGATGGTCCAGATCCGAGACGACCACATCCGCTTCATCTCTGAGCTCGCCCGCTACAGCAACAGTGAGGTACGTTTGGGCAGCGGCCGCCTCCGGCCGCCACCTTAGATGGTGGGCGTCCCCCGGGGTGAAGGAGGAGGAGTCCAGTGAATGGTACAGCACGTCACATCCATGTTCCATGGGGGGTGAGAGAGACGCGAGTGGCATGAACTACCGCTGAAGTCATCAGTAGATGCAAGTTGTGTAAACTGGATGAGCTTCTAGGCGTGCTGCAAAAGCCACTTATCTCTTTGTTACAATACTCCATTATTGACAATATAGTTCATATGAATAATATTGCAACAAAACATATATAATTCATTGTGTGTCGGAGCACCTGGAGCTTTGCACCGGTGTCTTTTTATTATTTAAATTGAAATAAATAAACTACCTGCCAGGGCTTTGGAGGAAGATTCGTGGGAGACTAAAGGACCTGTCTTGCTCTTTGGATATATTGGCTGACTGAGTCCTTTCATATTTGCCTGTGATTATTATTTGCTACTGGGTCATCATTGCTAATTATGATCTAATTGGTAGGGTGCCAGACCTTGTGTATGCGTGTTTTTCTGTTGTTATTTAAAGGATTCACAAATTGCTGGCTTATATTTGGGGCATCTCAGGGAAATCTCTGAGACACTGGGATGATAAGGAAGGAGTTGTATTTTCTCTTATGTTATAGGAGAGACACCACTGAGTCCCAGGTCTGTAGGAAATACGCTGCTTGTGCGCTTACTAAGAGTCAAGTTGAGCTAGGATTGTAACAATAGTTTGCTTTTCCTGTGGGGGATACGTTGCCCGTTGCATTTTTGGCATTTCATCTGGGAATCAGGGGAGCTAGACCTCTCATTCCATAGCTTGCAGTCGTGGCTGAAGAGCATGGCCTTGGGTTTATGACTCTAATTTTGCCACTGTGTGGGGGTCTCCAGGTGGTCACCGGCTCGGGGCTGGACAGCCAGAAGTCAGATGAGGAATACAGGGAGCTCTTTGACTTGGCTTTACGGGGACTGCAGCTGCTCTCCAAGTGGAGCGCCCATGTCATGGAAGTGGTGAGTACCAACAAGGGTCACATCCCCACCAGGTGCGTGCCTTGAGGGCTGGGAATTTTTCACGGTCAACGAGAAATGTGAAAATTTAGTCGACTGTTTTGAAAACAGTTTTCACTGAAATTCTAAGTTTTTCATTGAAATTTCAAAATTTGGCTTTTTTGTCACCATTTCTAAAACGGGGGTGATGCTGACAGTTGTTTTATTGAGAATTCTACGAATAAACATTAAGGGTCAGCTTGATGTTAGAAAAGTACAAGAACTTAATGCCAATGGCCCAGAAGTCATTAGCAACCCTACAATAAACAAAGCAAAGTGCTCGCACACCACGGTGGAGTCAGATCTGGAAACAGCTTGTTTTCAAGCTTCCCAAAGGAATTATTATCTATAAACAACAGGAGTGGAGGCGAGGGAGTGTTTGTCTAAAAGGATGGAAAGCCCTCTTTGCATGATGTGCCATTTCAGTCTGCTCAGCTGTGCTCCTTACAAGTTGCGTTGGTTTTGTTTTCTCCTTCCAGTATTCTTGGAAGCTGGTACATCCCACCGATAAGTTCTGTAACAAAGATTGCCCAGGCACCGCTGAGGAGTATGAGAGAGCCACCCGGTACAACTACACCAGTGAGGAGAAATTTGCCTTTGTGGAGGTAGGTGCTAAGAGTGGCTCGTTTTGTCCAAAGGGATGGTCAGCCCTCACAAGGAAGGGTGGTCTCATGGCTAAGGCAGTAAGATGGAGACCTGGGTTCAATTTCCTGCTCTGCTATAGATTTCCTGTGTGACCTTGGGCAACTCACTTAATCTGGGATTTTCAAAGCCATCTAGGGGAGTGACACACCCAATCTCCACTGACATTCAGTAGGAGTTGGGCACTTAATTCCCTTCACAATCCCAGGCTTCATCTCTCAGGGTCTCAGCTGCAAAATGGAAATAATACTCCTTCCTTTCCCACCAGAGTTACCTCTGCGAATGCAAGGAAACTTATCTAGTTTTGTTCCTTTTACCCAGGTAATTGCCATGATCAAGGGTCTGCAAGTGCTGATGGGCCGGATGGAGAGTGTCTTTAACCAGGCCATCAGAAACACTATCTATGCAGCCCTGCAAGACTTTGCCCAGGTGACCCTCCGAGAGCCATTGAGACAAGCAGTCAGGAAAAAGAAGAATGTCCTGATTAGGTGGGGCCCAAAATGTAACTTAAAGCATATCTCTATTTAGTGTGGTCCTGTCTGCAGCCCAACCCCCATGGGCGACCCTCTGTGTGGGCAGCCCTTCCACAGCTATAACCAGCCATACGCCACATCCCAGAGCCTACCGGTGCGCCTTGCCCAGCACTCGTGAGCAACACACCCGTAACGAACCAAGGTGAGCTGCTTATCCTCATGTGACCAACGCACCTGTAACCATCCGATGGGTACAGTCCAACCCTGGTGAGCCACCCTCCCAAACCTAGCCGGTGCGAGTACCCGTCCCACCAGGTGTCCATGCACAATGTGTTTTCCCTCCTCTTATGAGCATGACGTTGGGCATTTTCTCCTCACATTAAAGGCAAGTTTTAAAGTTTTGCTTTCACCATCCCAGTGTCCTTCAGGCAATCCGGAAGACAATCTGTGACTGGGAGGGAGGTCGGGAGCCCCCTAATGACCCCTGCCTGAGAGGCGAGAAGGACCCCAAAGGTGGATTCGATATTAAGGTTCCTCGACGAGCAGTGGGTCCATCAAGCACACAGGTACGTAAACCGTCTCCACTTCTCCAGGGAGTCCTGGGGCCATAAAGTCATCCAGCGGTGGCCCATTCTGGGGGTTAGTTGTTGGCCCCTATAGTCTTCTCTTTTCCAAAGTCTTTGCATATGTCTTATGCAGGTAGCTCCCATTGTTGCCTTTGGTGCATCACTTGTCCTACAATGCATGCTAGGGCCATCTTCTTTGTGGGTCTCAAATTAATAATGGAAGCAGCCTACAGGATCCAGCCACTGGGTGGAAACTCCCGGGGGCTGGTGGGGCTGGTTGCCTATAGAGCACCATGTGCTGCTGTATCAGTCAGGATGCTGCTGGTTGTTTTAAAGCTTTACATGGTGCGGACTATGCTGGAGTCGCTCATCGCAGACAAGAGCGGCTCGAAGAAGACTCTAAGGAGCAGCTTGGATGGGCCAATAGTCCTGGCCATTGAGGAGTTTCACAAGCAGTCCTTCTTCTTCACCCACCTTCTCAACATCAGCGGTGAGGTTATAGCAGAGGTGGACTTGCACCCGGTCCTGTCCGGCTGCGCTGCACAGATGGGACGGGCATAGGCAGCCTGGTCCGACGGGTCATCTTGCTCAAGAGTGGCCTCGCCAGCAAATTTTACTTTGAGTCAAGGGTTTGCACTGTGGTCTGATTTCAGGCGTGTTACCAGATCCTGGCCACCTCTTAAGTGAAGATGAATGCTGCAGCACTAGCAAATGAGGGGTGGTCTTGTGGGTAAGGCTCTGGGCTCTTTTTCTGGCTCTGCCACAAACTCCCTGTGTGACTTTGGCCAAGTCACTTGATATCCCTGAGCCTCGGTGCCCCAGTTATAAAGTGAGGATCATAATCTTTTCTTCCTCCTACCCGTAAGGTGCTCAGGTACCATGGTGATGGGTGTGGTTTGAGAACTGTGATGGAATAGAATAGCTGAACTGCATTTAAAATAAATGTTATGCCTGGCCTACAGGGCCTGCCCTTTGCTGTAGGTTTCCCCTAGTTCTCTTGCAGACAGTAAACTCTGTGTTCTCCCGGTGTGGGGGAAACATCCTGTCTATTTCCAGAAGCCCTGCAGCAGTGCTGCGATCTCTCCCAGCTCTGGTTCCGAGAATTCTTTCTGGAGCTGACCATGGGCCGTCGGATCCAGTTCCCCATTGAGATGTCCATGCCCTGGATTCTCACGGACCACATCCTGGAAACCAAGGAACCCTCCATGATGGAGTAAGAGCCTAAGGGTGGTTGTGGGTGGGTTCGTTAGCTGGACCTCAGGCACTAAGGAGCCTATCCTAGGGGACAGAAGTTTTATAAGAGGATCATAATAAGTATTCAAGTGTACATGTGACTTTGTGATACAGTTGTGCATGACCGGGCCTTTTGTTCTGTTTGTAAACGCCGAGCACAGTGGGGCCCTGGTCCCTGGCTGGGGCTCCCAGGCACTGCGGTAATACAAGTAATAAATAATACTAACTCTTATGCCATTTATTGTGCATTATAACTGCTTCCTTGTGAAAGAAATTGTTTTCTACTCTAGGGGCAGGTGCAGCAGACACTAAGGTCCCTTTGCAAAGCTAGAGAAGCACAGAAGTTTCTTAAAGGGCAGACAGTGAATTCCCTGGCATGGATGGTGGTGCGGGAGACCCTCAGCTAGCAGAAAGCCAGCTGTCCTCTAGCTACTTCCAGCAACTGTGATCTAGGGACTGTGGGGGGAGTTTCAGGAGCTGGAGTAGGTGGAGCTGAAAGGCACGAGGTTAGAGAATTCTCCATTCCAACAGACGTGGCTGGGCTGGAGTGGTTGCAGAGGGGCCATATGCCTTGTTCTGGTGCTTGGTGCAGGAGCAAATGTCACAATCATCACCATATGTGGGGTCTGGAAGGAATTTCCCCCCAGGTCCAATTCGCAATGACCTTGGGGGTTTTACACTTTCCTCTGCAGCCTGTGGGTCACTTGCCAGGATTATCTGGGTATATCTCGATTCATCCTTCCCTTGCCACTGCGGGCGCCTTGGGCACCAGTGCACCTTGGTCCCTCCTGTTCTTTGCCTGTGGCACATCGTAGTCTAGTCTCCTGTGGGCTGCAATACTTTGGTCTCATTGCGATTGTTGGGTTGAGTGTGTGGGTGGTGGGTGGTGGTGGTGCCCTGTGGTTTATAGGAGTTGAGATTAGATGATCCATTCTGACCATAAACTCTATGACTCTAACATGAACTGTTTTCTTCCCCTCAGGTACGTGCTGTATCCCTTGGACCTGTATAATGACAGCGCATATTATGCCTTGACCAAGTTTAAAAAGCAGTTCCTATACGATGAAATTGAAGCTGAAGTAAGTTCTGTTCTTCTTTATTTGTCTGACTGTGCTATGAATGAAGAGCTCCCTCTCGCTTCACAAACGTGTCCTGTTTGACTGAACAGACCAATTTTTCAGTGAATTAATTAGAGGTATCCCCTAAAAAAATAAAATAAAATACTAAGAAATATTCAAGAGAAAGCTACAAATTTCCAAAGGAGCCTTTGTATTCCTGCTGACCAATGGCCCAGTCGGCAATCAGCTCCATGTGGATCCAGTGAAAGCAAAATATTCACGTTTGGGGTGTGTAAAGTGTAACTAATGGCTGAAGAGTCATGGGATGTCAGCGGGGAAAGAGGCAAGAAAGGGCATGGAGGGCAATTGTTTTCAGCAAATAGTAAATTTGCCAAAAAATGCATATTTCTTCACATCAAAACTATTTGCAAATTGGAATTCGAATCGTGTCAAGGCGTTTTTTTTTCTGTAACTGTCCAAAGCCTTTCATTTCGATGTTTTCGAAAGAGGCTCTTTTGATGTTTCGTTTTTAATTGATGTCTCGTTTCGCAATGCCATTCAAAATGGTTCCTTCAGCTCGTTTCATTTCAACAAGAAAAACCAAAAAATTTTGTTTCAGTTCAAGTCAACATTGTTTTCCACTCAGCTCAAACTGAGAGATAAAGGGGACAGGGGATGGGAGAGGAAGGCTTTACGGTAGGATTCATAACAGGCGAGAAACATAAATGCTCAATGGTCTGCATTCCTTTATCATGAGAGTGTGGAAACCCCTCTGCTAGGTGACAGGAAATGTAGGGTAAAGTGCTTTGTTATGGATGGCGTTTTATTAAAACAGTGGTTCTCTCTCTCTCTCTCACACACACACACACACACGCTCACACTTGTTCTAAGAGCCTATTTCTTCTATGTTGTTTATACCCTTGTGATGTATATTTCTTTCTCTGTCAGGTGAACTTGTGTTTTGACCAGTTTGTGTACAAGTTGGCAGATCAGATCTTTGCCTATTATAAAGCAATGGCTGGCAGGTATGAGAATCCCGTTGCTGCTGATTGTTATTACTGTTTGCTCTGAGGTATCCTCTAGCGGCTCCAGGGAGGGTTCAAGGATGTGTTGTTCTAGGTCCTCTAGGCACACAATAAAAGAGACAATCCCTGCCCCAAAGAGCCATGATCCTTCTAACCATTTAAAGGCATACACTTTACATACATACATAAGGTCCGTGCACACTTGGGAACTTTTAGTGTGCGGTAGCAGGGCCCACGCAGACTGTTAGTACATGGCACACCAGTGCTCTCTAGATGTATGCCCTGCCTTGCCGCGCACGCACTCTCCATTTACACAAGCCGTTGGTGGTGTGTCCGAGAACGATGGACAGCAGGGTGGCAGATAACAATGGCAGCTGCAAGTTTGACGAGGTGGGGGTGTCGAAGAGTGACTCACTGGCCAGTGTGCCGCCTCATGGCTGGAACCTGCCTTTCAGGACCTGCCCCTCAGACTCCACCTTCCAACAGCCATTCGGCCCCTGTGGTGGTCTGTCTCTTCTAATGACTCGGTGCTCCAGCCAGGTCATGTTCAGTTCACTCCTTCTGGAGTATCAAGTGTCCACTACATCCTCCACCCCTCCCGGGCTGCTCTTTAAGCCCACTCTTCTTTCAGAGTTGCGGGTTCCCAGGCATTCCCTAGCGTCCCCAGGCAGACTCCAAGCCAAGCCACTGTTGCCTGCCCGGGGCTTATGCTCTTAGACCCTCTGGGTTCTCTCCATCTCCCTGTTCCTCTTCTGGAAGACTGACCCAAGAGGCTACCCAGCTGGAGTCTAGATCCTGTTTCAGGGCCCACTACGGGTCTAGCTCCACCCCTGTGGGTGCCTTCCGCAGAGAGAGGGAACTCTAGCCCCCTTCTGCTGAGCCTCCTCTCCCTGGGTATCTCTCTCCTCACTGGCTTGAGCTTCTTCTTTGATGAACATCTAGCTCCTCCCCAGCTGAGACTGATAATAAACTGCACCTAGCATGCCCTCTAGTTACAGCCAAGTGGCTGCCTGAACGTTCGGGCACCTATTAACCCTTTATCTACCAGTGTGGGGTTATACACCCCCATGACAGAGGGGTATAAAAATATGGTTAAAGAGAGTCAGGACGGGTTGGGAGAACCCTCCCAGCTCATAAAGGGGATGACTCAGAGAAGGCAGGACTCAGAAGGGGATGTACTTGCCCTTGGAAAAGATTAAGAGGAAGGAGAAGGGATGATGGGGCAAATGCACTGATAATATTTTCCTTTTCCAGTGTCTTACTGGATAAACGTTTCCGGGCTGAATGTAAGAATTATGGCGTGATTATCCCTTACCCGCCATCCAATCGCTACGAGACGTTACTCAAACAGAGACACGTCCAGGTACAACAGACGCAGCAGCCTCAGACATTTCCTAAAGGTCTCATTGTCTCTAGGGGATTTAGCCGGGTCCTGCTGTCAACTGAAAATGTCAGTGTCTTGGTCATGTTCTATTGTTGGGTACAGTCAAGATTAATGACAACAGATTTCCTATATTTAAGAAGTAACCGGAAAACTGAGTCAAAAGCATTTATCATTATTATGACAAGGCATCAGGAAAGATTGGTTATTTACCTTCCAGGTTCCGAACCCCCTTTTAGATAGAGATAGACCCAACCAGCAAAGTTTGGATCCAGATCAGAACTTTCTCCACCTTCCAGATGGTTTGGCTCTGGGGCTCTAGTTTGGATCCATCTCCCCTTTTCCCACTAGTATCTTTTCCTCTTGTCCACAGCTGCTGGGTAGATCAATTGACCTGAACAGGCTCATAACTCAGCGTATTTCAGCTGCGATGTACAAATCATTAGACCAGGCCATTAGCCGCTTTGAGAGTGAAGACCTGACCTCCATTGTGGTAAGCTCAGTGATTGTTTGAAAGGGCTGTAGAATCAGAGAGTATGATATACTGATGTAGTATGTATATACACCATTGTCCATTACCGCATTGAAATCACATATACAGTAGTTTTCTCCCCATTTGTGAATTCTCTTCTCTTCTTTCCATCCTATCTTAGGTATTTCTAGGGCTCCCATCATCCACAAAGGGACTATATTTGGGAGTTTCATAGTGGGGGATCTTCACGGAGCACAGATGGTAGAGTCCTGTGATTTGGGAGAAGAAAGTCCTGAGTTTAATTTCCCCTGCTGCATCCATGTGGCTAAACTCTGGCTTAATGTGCCTGTGTGCATATGGTTCACAGCCACTGATACATTGCAGGACCATCAGAGTCGAGTAGTGTAAAATTACCAGTTTCCACATGCCAGGGATTCTGCTGTGAAAGGTGTTATTCTAGCAAGAATGTGCTCTGTGGGGAACAACTGCATTTTCCACCTGTAGGAAGGGAAATGGTTGAATGGGACCCCTAGAGTGCAAGTACAAATGCCCTTAGACTTTTGAGTTCAAACAATGTCTTTAATATTTGACAGGTTTCAGAGTAACAGCCGTGTTAGTCTGTATTCGCAAAAAGAAAGGGAGTACTTGTGGCACCTTAGAGACTAACCAATTTATTTGAGCATAAGCTTTTCGTGAGTATGCATCCGATGAAGTGAGCTGTAGCTCACAAAAGCTTATGCTCAGATAAATTGGTTAGTCTCTAAGGTGCCACAAGTCCTCCTTTTCTTTTTAATATTTGATACATCCTCACTTGGAAGACCACGTGTGTGTGTGTGTGTCTATGTGTATAATCATAATATGTATGTATATAAGTACACTGTATTTATAGTGTGTATATGTATAATCATCTTCTTGCTGATCGAATAAGACTTCTGTTATGATCTTGATAATACATAAAACCCTGCCGCTGTTGCTTTGCCTGGTGCAGGAGCTGGAGTGGCTCTTGGAGATAAATCGTTTGACACACCGGCTGCTGTGTAAGCACATGACTTTGGACAGCTTTGATGCCATGTTCCGAGAGGCCAATCACAACGTCTCTGCGCCTTATGGGCGTATCACCCTGCATGTCTTCTGGGAGCTAAACTTCGACTTTCTACCCAACTACTGCTACAATGGCTCCACCAACCGGTAAGAAAAAACAACAAGACGGGGCCTCTGGAGGCCCTGTTTCAAAACTGGACGTAACTCACAGCCCCCGCATCCACCACACAAAACGCCCACGGTCCACGCTGACAATGGCAGGTTTCCAGTCTGTACTAAGGCAGGAGTGTTTTCATTTCCCATGTGATGCACCATGGCATTGTAGAGACAAGCTTTAACCTCTCTGCTCTGCTTAGCCTTGAAAGAACAATTCAGGGTTTGCATGCAACAAACAGTGTGGTTGGACTGAAATGCAATTAACAGGCACTGTCGTTTCCTCTCCACACTCACTGCAGGTTTGTACGGACAGCGATCCCATTCACCCAGGAACCACAGAGAGACAAGCCAGCCAACGTCCAGCCCTATTACCTCTATGGATCAAAGGTCAGTAACGAGCCACATCAGCCAGGAAGAAGGACTTTATTTAGGGAGGCTGAACAATGAGGAAAGCAGATTGTACACACAAATCAGTCACCAGGTGGGAAATGCCAGGCAAGGTTCATTAGCAGAATGCCAGAAACACACAAGTCGGCTTGGCTTTGCTGAGACCGAAAAGCTGGGCGAGGCAACCAGTGTGTTGCCGCTTTGTCAGTTCTTCTTTCCTCCTGAAAGCATCAGTGTCAGAGTGAGCCGAAAGGCCACAGCCCTGTGTTGATGACTAACACTGGGACAGAGCCACTGAACAGCCCCTGTCTAGAGATACAGAGATTAGAATGGATTGGTGAGACTCAGCGAGGGGCTCCCCTCCCACCCGGTTATCGGTACCACAAGAGCACTGGGATCCCTGTAGTCTGAAAGGTGAATTATTGAAATGATGGTGTGTGTATATATCAGTGTCAGGCAATCTATCAATCAGATGTATATGGCAGACTTGTTTACATAGAACTGGGGAGGCCTGGGAGGTAATGGTAGTGGCTTTAAGAGTGAGTTTTATTACCAGGGAAAGGTGACTGAAGGCCCTATGAGATGACTGCACAGCACAGATACAGCACGTGCAGGGACACTGCAGGCTTATCTAGTCACCTAGGAGTAGATGACTCAATATTCCATTCCTAGAGCCCCGAGCTACCCATAACCCCACCCAAAATGGCTGATTGGTTTTCCCCTGAAGCAATTCCGTAGGTGAAAGGTGCCCTGAAGACTGAAGTCCCCTAAGCAGGGCCAAAGCCTGTGAGGTGACTGCAGAGCCAGAGAAGGCCATGAGAGTTGCAGGTACTCAGACCCTCTCGGGATTTGGTCCCCAGTGACTAAGTACAGTACAGGCAGCTGCACTGCAGGGCGTAACTGTAACAGTCCCAGGACTTGTGCTGTCTCCCACTAAAGTCTAGGGAAGTTTTGCCTTTGACCTCAAAGCAAGCAGGATCAGGCCTACAGTTTAGTTCCACCTCTGAGTCCATGTAAACCTGGCCCTTTCTGCAGGGGGTGCCTGCTGTCGAGGCGCGGCTGTTGTCAAGGTGCCATTTTCAACCCCAAGTTCGATCCCAGGGCAACGTAGTACGAACACCGAAACGTGTCAGGTCAACGTTTGCAGCATGAGAGCAGCCCCACTAAAATGAAAAACAAATTGCCGGGCGTTCCCCGTGCTGGGAGCTCCTTTTATTTCCCTTTCATTTGAACCCGTGCTGAGGTAAGATGGCCCTCTTGTCATCACTGCTTTGGATTGGAAAGAAGCAGTGGGGGGACCTATATGGGCTCTCTGCCATGATACTGGAACTCCTCATTAGGATAGCCGTCATGGGGACTTCCAGCAGCTCCTCCATCAGTCCAGTGCTCAGAGTCCCCTCAGGCGAGCTTGTCTGTTCATCCGCTTCCCTCTCTGGGTTGGCACTATTCTGCCTCAGCCTTGACACTTTGTGGCACCTTGAGGACCAGAACTGCAAACAGCCATAGACCAAGAAGGCCGTAAAGCAGAGGAGCAATAGGCTGCTCACCATCCACATGGAGGTGGCAGATTCCTGCTTCAAGCCGTGCAAGGCCCCCGGGTGCTGGTCGAGAGTGTGGAACGTTGTACAGTGGTTGCTGGAGGGGTAGGAGTTTTTACATGTGATGCACAGAATGTAGACGGTTGAGGGAGTAAGTCTGTGGAGGACCAGGGAGCTAAGGGAGTGGGGGACCCTCTCCTTGCGATGGAAGTTCTGGCGCAAGTGGCCCGCAAAGACGCTGTTCCAGTTGGGACGGTAGATGACGTGGTAATAGTTCTCCGGGCAGGGGTTGTTTGTGGACCAGGAGACAGTGGCTCTTGTGTCAGAGATGTTGCAGACTTCAATGTTCATAGCGGCTCTGAAAGGAGAAGCAAGGCAATGCTTAATGTACTGGGCCTGAGCCAAAGCCTATCGAAATCTGCTGGGCTCTTTCCACTGACTCCGAGGCGCTTTAGATCAGGCCCATATGGTCTTCAGAAGTAAAGAGAATTCGTAATAGCTAAAGCTGGGTAAGAAATGCAGAGACACGTTTGTGAAAAATGTTCACAGCTTTTCAGGAAGACTTTTTACTGACATTTTGTATTCTATTTGTAAACTTTTCATAGAAACGTCAAAAATTCAATAGCTTTCTACCAGTCCCACAGTTCAGTGGCAATGGTTATTTCCAGCAGTCCTGGTTTACTAGAATAGAACTGATAAATTCAACATTTGCACGTATCAGTACAGTTCTGCCAATAGCACTCTCACCTCTGTCTTAGATAATTATATAATACCTATCATCTCACAGTCTTCAATATATTTACCTTCCCAACAGCCCTGTGAAGTAAGACCGTGCTATTGCCCCATTCTAAAGATGGGGAAACTGAGACAGAGAGAGGCTAAGTGACTTGCTCAAGGTCATACACGAAGTACATAGCAAAGCGAGGAATTGAACCTGAGTCTCCCAAGACCCAGGCTAGTACCTGAACCATTAGACCATCCCACCTCATGACTAGAAAGTTACCCATCCGAAATAACAAATGGGACGTGGGTTTGTCCCTGATGCTCAGATCAGACATTAAACCTCTGCACCTCGTTGCTGGGTTTCTAGCTAGAAGCTTTTGCTCCCCAAGGAATTTAAAGAAGACTGCAAATTTGGTTAACTTAAACTAGTTACTGATTCAACACAAGTCTTTCTCTTGCTTGAGCTTCCAATAAACATTTGGACTGTAAATCAGAGTTCCGTAGCACTCACTGGAAAAGAGCCCGGTGACTGTCGTATTTGCCTAAACACTCACTGCATTTTCAGTCGCTAACTTGTTGCTTTAGAAAGCATCAGGTCTTCCGATATGTCATGTATTGTGCCAGTCAGGGATCCTGACTGGGGAGCTTGCTTGCTACTGAAATACAAATAAATTCAATAACAACAGTAGTCAAATTAATAAAATATAGTCAGGAAATAGACTTTTACCACCATGCGTATTCAGCAGGTGAATTTTATTGAAATCTACCATTTAGCTTCAGTCAGGGATTATTTTGTAGAGCCCCTCTAGTGGGTCACCTAGTCCCTTTCCTAACTTCACTGCAGGATCAATTCCTCTATACAAATTCATTTCTGTAAAGCAGAAACGTTCAGCTCTTCTCTCCCTGCTGTAGGCAATATTTACTTCTTTGCTAACTAGATTAACGCTATCCATCTGGATTTTCTCTCTTTTAATTTGCTTTCTTTCTCTTTTCCTATGTTATTCTTTAATTCAAGAAACATCTCACCTAACAATTGCTCTGTATCCTACTTTCCTCTCGTGAACAGCTAAATACATGCACACATAACTGAGTAGCTACCTAATCATTGAAAAGCTATTTACCTTTCTCGGCATTTATCTTAAGCAGTGGCCAATAAATGTTCAGTCATGAGGCATGAATCTGAGCTTGCGATGCCTTGCCTTCCTCTCCACAGCCAGAATCCCTGGATAACTCCCTTGGTTGCGGGCTGATTAAATCCATCACCTCTCCATAGTCTTGTATTATACCCTTCTTTGATTGCATCATCACTCGCCATAGCAACCAATAGGAAACTGTAGTCAAGCATCTTCCAATGGATTGGTGAGTGCTGTCTCTAAAAGCTTTTGTCTGGGAGAAGTATTTGTCCATGAAGCTGAAAGAACCAGACATGGTAGTTTTGTTTTCTGGCTTTTTTTTTTTTTTAAATGGGGGCTAATTAGCAGGAAAGCGACTGCAAGCAGCCAGCCCCCAGCCTCCTTTTGTCTCAGTGCCATTATCAGTTCTCTAAATGGTTTTCGTAGGTTCAGCGATTCCAAGGCCAGAAGGGACCATTGTGAGCACTGCATTAGACTTTTCACTGCTAGATAGAAGAGCCCATTATTAAATATTTGTTCCCCATGGAACAGATCTGACCTGTCAAGGTCCCTGGCAGTCCCACATTTCTGTGATTCTGATTCTACGGAGGTACTTATCGTGATAGACTCAAGGAGCTCCGTTGAGTTCGATTAACAAAGAGAAGGTTAAGGGGTGACTTGACCTACATGGTATAAAGCAGATTCTAATCTTTTAATCCTCTCTTAACCCTCTCTGATTTATTAACACCCTTCTTGAATTGTGGACACCGGAACTGGACACAGTATTCCAGCAGCATTTGCACAAGGTTCTAAAAGAAAAGAGTTTTAATTCAGGCTGAGGAAACATGCCTGCACATACAGGCGTTTGCTTTTTCTGCTTCCAAAGCGCTGTCTTGACTCTGACGCTTGAGTCCCATTTGTTCTTGTTGCTCAAGAGGATGATGGCTTGGCAGTCTAAACGACCCTTCCTGGGACCACAGGTTCAAATCCCAAGAATGACACATTGGGCTCCATGCAGTGCACTTTCAGATGAGATGCTGAGGTTCCCAATATGCTTTTTAGTAAGAGGATGGGGACTGCTGCAGTGCTTTCTCCCAGCACTGTAACAAGGTAAGGTACTGACACCTGCTCACCCTGAGGTGCCAGTCTTTCTGGGAGGCTCTGGGAAGGATTTGGAGATTCTTCAGGGTCAGAGATGCTGTAGTATGTAAATATAAAATACCATTTCCAGTAAAGCAAAGTGTCGCCTATTAAAACTCTGTCACTTAGATTCATAGATATTTAGGTCAGGAGGGACCATTATGATCATCTAGTCTGACCTCCTGCACAACGCAGGCCACAAAATTTCACCCACCCACTCCTGCGAAAAACCTCTCACCTATGTCTGAGCAATTGAAGTCCTCAAATCATGGTTTAAAGACTTCAAGGAGCAGAGAATCCTCCAGCAAGTGACCCGTGCCCCATGCTACAGAGGAAGACGAAAAACCTCCAGGGCCTCTTCCAATCTGCCCTGGAGGAAAATTCCTTCCCGACCCCAAATATGGCGATCAGCTAAACCCTGAGCATGTGGGCAAGATTCACCAGCCAGATACTACAGAAAATTCTTTCCTGGGTAACTCAGATCCCATCCCATCTAATATCTTAGTGGCTTGTCTTTAATCTTAAGATCTCAGTGACTTTTAAACTGTCAGGAAAATCTAGCTGACATTCTGTCCTTCGCCCAGGCTACAGGGGCATCAGCTGATCTTTTCTCCAGGTACTCCACTTTGCCTGGAAGCAGCCCTGGCTGCGATTTTCAAAGGCATCCAACTTCTATTGAATTTCAATGGGATCTAGGCAGGCTCCTTTCAAAAATCATAGCCACAGGAGCCTAAAAATGACTCTGTCCCATCTGGTTAGAGGGAAAGACGGGAAGGCAAATGTAGGATGTGCACAGTGTAAGCTGTCGGAGTCACTGGTGATAAATAGGCTTGGAAGCATTTGATTTTTATTAGTAAATGTATGTAAACGTTGATTTCACCACACACACATGCAAGTGGACAAAAGAATATTTCCATCAATAATAACTGAAATGTACAGATAGACAAAATAAGAAACATGCTGCTTGAGAACCTCTTAAAGTTTGATTTAAGGATATTTACTTTGTATATTTTTCCATGTGGTGTTGACAACTTGTGTGGTTATAAAACTTTAACTTTTGTAATCTTGATGTCTACAATCACTAAATCATTATTGCCCGGCACACACCCCACAGTGTCTGACCTCCTGCATAATTTCCCCTGACTGTGAAAATTTCAATAGATCAAAATTAAAAGGTGCGTAAAAATAAACATGGATGTTATCTGTCAAAGTGATAACAAAATAAAAATCAAATTCTGCCAAGCCTAGAGATAAAGGGGGAAACGAAAAACTTGCCATAATAGACCCAGCACTTCCAGGCAGTGTCTCACTGCTGTCTGAAGCAGAGCATCTGATGCAGAGTTGCATCCTATGAAGTGAGCTGTAGCTCACGAAAGCTTATGCTCAAATAAATTGGTTAGTCTGGAAGGTGCCACAAGTACTCCTTTTCTTTTTGCAAATACAGACTAACACGGCTGTTACTCTGAAACCTGAAGCAGAGCAGTAAAGGGAGCTTGCTCTGGATTAGAACTTTCATAGAATCATAGAATCCTAGAATATCAGTGTTGGAAGGGACCTCAGGAGGTCATCTAGTCCAACCCCCTGTTCAAAGCAGGACCAATCCCCAGTTTTTGCCCCATATCCCTAAATGGCCCCCTCAAGGATTGAACTCACAACCCTGGGTTTAGCAGGCCAAAGCTCAAACCACTGAGGAGTTCTCAGTCACTGGAAATGAGTCTGCAGTCTGTGAGCACTCCTTCAGATGTCAGCAGCGAGTGAACGCACCAGGCAAAGTGGAGAGTAAAGAAGTATTTTACATCAGGAAGCATCTGCAGCCCCTGCTCTCCACTTAGTCATCCCATTGCTTGACATTTTAGCTTTATCTTCCAAGGTCAGGCTGCCTCCCTTCTGTGTCCATCAAACAGCCGTTGGCAGAGCAGGGATGGAAATACTCATTGATGAGATGAAAGTGAACAAGCTCTCACCTGGCTTCAGGCCCTTAACTTAGCACAGCCCTCCCTTCAGGGGCAGAGGGGAAAAGGTCCTCCCTTGGCTTCATGCTGCCAGCCAAGCAGAGTCCTGCCTGCAGGGGGGAAAGCTGGCAAGAGGAACTCAGGGTACAGAGGGATTATGCAACACAAAGGGACTCACTCATCAGGGCTCCTGCAAGCCTGAGTTCAACAGGCTTCCCTGCCTGCTGTCATGTCAGAATTATACTTTGGTTGTTCATCAATAGCCTTTGTTCTTAGAAACAGGAGACAATGGAAATGGAATAGTTTCATCATCTTATATAGGAGCATAGGAATAGCCAGATTGATCGAACAAGGGGCCATCTAATCCAGGATAGCATCTCTACCAGTGGCCAGTATCAACTGTTTCTGGGGCACGTGCAAGAAACTCTGTAGTAAGCAGTGATGTGATAACCTGCTGCCTCCCTTTTCCCCTCCTGAAATTTCTTCTGAGGTCAGAGGTCAGCTCATGCCCTAAAGCAGGAGAGTTTCTAACCCTACCAAAGCTCTTCATTAGTTTGGTAATCTCCTTTGTTTTAGTTAAATAAGAACTCTGGGTGTAAATGTGTGGGGGTGTCTCCGAGTCAGAATTCTTTTGTTGTTTTATATCCAAGCAGGGATGTGGCTTCTCAAAGGAGACCTTGATAATTTGTGATAAATATACGTATAACCTCATCATGCTGCTGTAGCAAGTCCCTTGTCAGAGTGAACCTACCCTCGAGGAAGTCCATGGTCCAAGTGCATCAGTTAGAATTCCATGGATTGGTGGGTTGCATTACAGTTCAGTCAGGTTACTGTGTTCCAACACACATCAAAGACAAGTACTGTGGAGATCCACTCTACGATAGAAAGTGGGGAGGAACTCAGAGGCAACCATATCCCATGAGTGATACAGTCAGTTCTTAGACCTGGGCACCCAGGGAAGGAGGAAGGAGTTTCCTTTTTTTTCCAGAAGTGGGAAACAGAATAAGAGACAGATCGTAAAAGGGATTTAGGCACCTGACTCCCATTTAGGCGCCTACATACCTTTAACAGTCTGGCTCCACATGTCCAATAGAAATTAAGCCATTCTCCACTGCTCAGCCAGCTATAAAATTCAGCTGAATTGAGGCTGTAGCATTGGGTTCCCAAGGCTCCCACACAGAGCATGTAAAATTACCGACAGCCCACTTCTCTGCTTGTTAACTGCTGCTTAACTTTGTAAATGCTTCTGATCGTGCACCGTTTATGTACATTCATGTGCACCTGTCCTCCTCTCAGCACCGCCTGAATCAGGATCACGATCAGTTCAGTGGAAATCATTAGCGGTTTTGCATTACCTGACCCACTCACCTGAGTTAATTAACCTGTCTTGCAGATGCCCTCAAAGTGCCATATCTGCCTGTGATGCTATGTAGTATATAAATAGTGATTGTACCCAAATGGTGTAAGTCGCAACTTTTTCTGGGCGTGTATATTCAGCAGCTGCAAAGGGCTTCTGGATTGGTGGGACCAGTAGGTGGTGCTAGCAGCTGGGGCTGTTTATCCTCCAGGGCTTGCTGGGTGTGTTTCAGGAGGTGGTACTTGGCCTGTCACTTCAAAACCCAGATTGGGCAGCAGGGAGCAGGCAAATGTTTTTTTCAGTGAGAAGTGGGGCATTGGCAGCACGTTTGCCATAGTGGGAGTGCCAAGGGTGACACATTGATCACAATTTCTGCTCAGTGGGTTGAGTGATCACCTTGGATTAAAGGAACGTTCCTGTGCTATCCAGAGTGCATCACGGCCACTGCTAGGAAAAGCACCAGGCATGTTCCCCGCTATCCTCCTCTACTGAGAACCCCAGGCTGATAAATAACAGCAGCAGCCTATAGGATCGTCACATTAAGATAAAACCATCTGGACACATCCCTTCACAAAGGACATATTTTCTGTGCTGTGTATGCGCTGTGGATGCCACATAGGACTGGGCATTTATGTTTTCTGGAGCAGAGTTTTTGGCTCTTTGGCTGAGAAACAAGGTAGTATCAGTTCAATATGATGCATCCCCTACAGGGAGGGACTGGGCTCTCCTATTGCAGGAGGTGAACTTGGCTGCCTAGCAAGGCTTTTCGTTAGAAGTTCATTTTCAAGAGGGTTCAGGTGTGTGGCT